TTCCTGCCAGGCTTGTCTGCATGCAGGTGTGGGCAGGATTCAGATGCTGCAGTTGTTTTTTTGAAACTCAAGGGGCAAAAGCTTTAACTTGTTGCCTCCTTCATTGCCTGTCTGAGCAGATTTGCTGTGAAGGCATTCATGGAAGGTTGAAATTCGCTGTTTGCAGCAATTCCCCAGAACAGAAAGGGCTTTGAGGTTTGCAGTGTGCACTGAGGTTACCTGTGGTAGCAGCTAACAGTGCATTTTGCAGAGTTCTTTTTGTTTATTTCCTGTAGGATAGAAGCAAAGCTGTGTGTGAATCATGTTTTATATTGCTGCATTCCTAAAGCATCTTGGGCCATGTTGTTTTTCTAGCAAACTTGCCCAAGGAACCATTGATATGTGCAACTGTCTGTACTTAAAATCTCAAGTAACGTGGTGATGGTAGACATAGAAAAGTGTTTCTCTGAGAAAGTTTAACAGCCTTGCTAACCATGTCAGACATGGAGCCTCTGAAGAGCTCAGAACACTCACTGGAACCCATGGTTACTCCATGTGACTGGTTAAAATTGCTGTCTAGGAAAAAAATCGAAGCTTGAAAATGGAATATTTGTGTTGTATTTGATGTCTGCCCCAGGTTTTGTCATGTAATTAGTTCTGCAATTGTCTGCACTGAGTTTTGATCTCTTGGGGTACCAGTAGAGGTCACTTGTGTCTTGAGAGAGAAACCTGCAGGTTTGAAAAGCACAAGTATCTGCAGGATATTGCAGGCCAAAAAATCATTCTGTTGTGGTCTGTTTTCAGAGGTGGTACCTCCAGCTCCCCTTGTCACTCGCTTTTTGAATACAAGAGCTATGAAAGAGACTTTTAAGAGCTACATGGAGTTGCTTGTTAGCATTGCCTTGGATCCAGACACAATGCAAGCCTTGGAAAAGAGCAATGGTACAGTATGTTTAGAATTTGTGTGTTCTTACTAGATTTTTAAGGTTATTAATCAGTAAAACAAATGGTTTAGGTTTTTTGTTTTTAAAGAACAAACCCACAAACCTACTGAGCTTCCAGTTACACAACCTCACCCAAAGAACACTACCCAAGTTATTTGTGTGTATGTTTATTTTTGCACTATCTCTTTGAATAATCTCAGTAATTTGGCAATACTGTTTTGTGTGGTTTGTTACATTATACTTGTGCTGTGAATTTCAGAACTGAGCTCTCTGTTCCTGCTGTGACTATACTTTTAAAACCTTGGCAAATGTTTATTTAAAATCAGTTTCAAGTGCATTTGGCTTCTGATGAAAAAATAACCTTGTAACTATTAATACTTCTGATTCTTGCTGCTATTAAAAATTCTGAATTTTTAACTCTGACATATTAAAATTACATTAATACACATTTTTTTCTCGAAAACAAAATCCTTGGACTGATTTTACTCTAGTAGACTCCAGGATTCAAGTTGAAACTTCTGTTTCTCAAAATTTAGGAGAACACTCATGTATAAAGATAAATGTTCCAAAAGAGAAATCATTTCATCCATCACTCAGTTGCAGGCTGTTATTTTGGACCATATTTTGTTGGCCTGTATTTTAAAAAATGGTTTTTAGCCTCTCCTTTCCTGGTTTGCTCTGGCTGTGCATCAGTGCACACTTCCCTCAGGATTTCAGGCCCATCCATGGTGTCAACAGTCCCAGGAAAAGCACAGAAATTGACTTTATAAGTACAAAACTCTGTACTGAGCTGTAAATTTTCATTCATGGCCACATGTATATTGTGCAATTCACAGAGGTTTATCAAATCACTTTTAGCAGTAAGCACTTTTCTCAGTTTTTGAGTTATAAATGCCAGCAGGGTCATCTCCTGTAAACTGGAATAACAAATGTCCAAGCCACAGACTTGTCTTCATAAAACTGCCAGTTGTGTTGCACAGAAGAGGATTATCTAGGAAATGGTGTGAAATTGTCTTAAGATTTATGTTCTGTGTTGCTCTGTCTTATTTTTCCCTTTCAGCAAAGTCAGAGCAGGATTGCAGTTAAACTCAGAACAGCTAGACCAGTTGAGCAGACTGCTAAGAAAAACTTTTAAATTATGGTTTTCTCTCTCGTTTGAAATTAGTTTATGTGCAAATTACATTATACTTTCCTTTCCAGGCCCGTATTAATGGGCCAAAGTATAGGTTGAATCTGAACCTCATGACTGTGGGTCTCATAATAACCAACTGCTGTGGGTTTTTTGTGTCTTAGATGAGCTGCTTTTGCCTCACATGAGAAAAATTGATGGTATGCTGAATGACAACAGGAAGAGGCTGCTGTCCAAACTGCGCTTGGATCATGCTTTCAAGGTATTCTCCTTCAAACTCTAGGGTTTGAAAAGTCCTAAGTCATTGAATGCATATTGTGCAGGCACAGCTGGAAACCCAGAGAGCACTTTTGTAACACAATTGACTATGGATTTGAAAGATACTGTAAATTTAGTGCTTGGATGTGGCATTTGGAGCACATTTTTGTGATGGAGGAGTTTATACTGCAAAGGTAAAGTTCTAGTTTTACTCCCCATGCTTTCTGGTTCATTCTCAAGCGTGTTTTTTTTTTTCTTTTAAGCTTCTCAAGTTTGCCAAAAGAAAATCTGTTTCTTGTCCTAGAGCTTTTGGTTAAGTGATTGTATTGCCTAAAAATAAACTTTTATGTGAAGTAGCTGTGCTGGGGAGCAGATGTCTGAACTTCTGTGAAGTAGAGAACAGGATCAGAGGAGTGTGAAACCAGGACAGAAGGATTCAAGAACATTTGTGTGCTCTCTCATGTATCTTCAGCATTGGAAGGTTGAGAAAAGTGTGGAAAACAAGCCCATGTTACAGCAGCTTTGCTGCAGTAATAAAACACCAGGTGTGGATGTGGACAGGGAAGAGAGAAGCTGTGCCAGCTCAGTAGAGAGAAGGTAAACAGGAGGGTAATCCCTGTGGTTACAGTTCATCTGGGACATTTTAGCACTGTGTTACACACCAGAGCAGGCACTGAAGTTAGAAGTCAGAGTTTGGTAGTTTTGCCTGTGATGTTTTTTCATAGTTGATAGAAAATATTACTGTGGCTTTGGTTGAAGCTTGGTAACTGAAACATCTCAGCTGGATTTGAAAATAGCTACCACCATTTTTGTGTCTCATGCTCTCAAAGATGCAGAAATCACTAGTCTTTTCTCCTTAATTCCAATTCAGATGTGTCTGGTTTGGGTCACTGGTGCAGCCATGTAACATGTTCTGGTTAATAGTTCTCCAGAGGAGGCAGAAGTGACCAGAGCCTTGAGAAAATCAACCTTGAGGAAGGCTGGTGCAGTGGATAGACAAAACCTCTGAAGATATTTAGTCCTCCAATCCCTGCTACAATTGGCAGATTCCCTATGCCTGACTAGGCTATTAAGTACTTAGGGAATCTTCATGTAACTTGGCTTTACAGATTCTTGGGTAGAAATGGAATGGAAAGCGTTTTAAAAAGTAAAAATTGCCCAGTGGAGCCTTTTTTTTTTTTTCTTTCTAGTGAGAGGATCACAGATGGTAATCTGAGATACAATGAAAGGATCTTCTGGTCTTGAAAAATGATAGTAGTCAAGAACAGGTGGTCATGCTTTCCACACTGTATATGGTTGCATGATCTGATAAAGACACTATCAGGTCTTTGTGAAAGAAGAAATTGTTTCATACTTCTCCAAGAAAAATGGCCAATTTATCATCAGTCTGCTCATTCTTGATCTTTTCATAATCCATTATCTTCATGTGCTCTGTTCAAGAATGCTTTGGAAAACTTCCCTGAACTGACAGTGATCACTCGGGATTCTAAGACAAAATGTGGAGGAACATCTGTGTCTAAGATCAAAATGAATGGTAAAGCTTACAACAAAAAAACACTGAGGGCTTCAAAATCAACCACTAAATTAGCACAGGTGAGTGTGCAGGGGATTATTGCTGCCACCATCTGCATTCTGCCATGGTGACCATGCTTAGATAAAATCCTGCCTCATGCATTAGGTTTTCTGGTAGGTTTATCAAAATATAAAATCTTGGTGTGAGGTGATTTTACTGTAACAAAGGAGTGGTAAAAACCAACATTTAGAGCATTATTGAGTCATTATTTTAACTCATCTATGAAACATAGTTCTATTCCAGTAAGGAGACAAAGTATAATACAAAGAATAATACACTTTATTGATTATTCCCCTATTTGAGTGCTGTGTTTAGACCCAAATGCTCTTACCCTGTATATTTATAGGGGAAGTTTTCTGTAGCAGCTATTCAAGGCTGCAGGAGGATGCAGGAGTAGTGTCCTGCTTCCCTCATGGAGGCAGTAGGTGGAACTGGCTGGGAAGGGAAAGGTGAACTCTGCTGTAGCCTGGCAAAGAGCAGAGCTCTGCTGGAGCCTCTTCTGCCACCAGCACAGCAAGGACTGAGCTGCACACCCTGGTCCTGCACAATCAGCCTTCTGGGCTCTTGCTAAAGCACTAACATTTTGCCTCCAGCATTGCAGTTGTGGTGAAGTCACCGTGTAGCTCGTAATAATAACAGTTTCTTAGACTTGTTGCAAAATCTCTAGACTGCAAAGGAAGCTTTAGTCTTAATACTGTAAAATCTGAGTTTAGATATCACTTCTTAGAAACAGAGTTGTCTGTTGCTCCATTCCTGATTACTAGTGACAGGATGGAGCTGTGGATCTTAAATTTTGAAAGAAAAAATTACAAAGCAACATGGTTAAAAACTGGAGCTGTGCACATTATTTATTTCCATGACATTCCTGGGGAACACTACAAGTAGGTTTTGCTAGGCTCAGGAGCAAATAGTGTGAACAAATGACCTATAAGTATAGCTCACACTCACATTTCTTGCCAAAGTAACATAAGTGCTGTATAAGTACAGATCAGCCTGAATGTAGCACTCCATTTCTGAATTGTTGGATGATTGTGGAAAAAAATGTCAGAAATATCTCTGTCTTGGAAAAGAACAAGAATTTACCTAAAATAATTGTTCTTTTTTTGCAGGAGTTTACAGTAGATCCAGAAAAAATACAGTTGTATTCTTTGTATCACTCACTCCATCATTATAAATATCACATATATCTAACGTGTAAGGAAGAGGTAAGTGTTGCTCTCATTGAGCTCCTTTTACATTCCTTGAGGGAATTTACTGAGGGCATTGAGTCCACCTAGAGGGACTGTTCTCTCCTTGGTAAATGAGCATGGGTGGAGGCCTTCTGTTGGAATTAATTCCTTCTGGCAAGCAGAAGGGTTTGGGCACTGCTGCTCAGAACGTTCAGATATGAGGCTTACAATGGTTGTGTGAGTCCTTCAAGTATTCCACTACTACTTCTAAGTAAATAAAAGAGATTCTGTGTAACTCCTCAGCAACAGAAGGTTGCTCTTTGTCCTAGAATGCCATTGCTCTGTTGTTCTGCAGACCCCTGGTGCCAATCTCTCAGGGAGCAGATGTATGAGAGTCAAGTTCTGGCTTAGTTTGTAAAAAAATGCATTTTGGAGGGGCATTTCCCTTTGTTTTTAAAATCTGGTTTTCTGAACACAAACCAGAGAAGGTTTGTATTTAACTGCAGACTACTACAGGCATGAAAATTCTGGAGTTGTGGCAGCCTAACCTGTGTGTGTGTGTGCCTCTCTCCCTTCCTTCTCTGTCTGAAATAGATTTCTTCTGTTCAGAAGACGAGTGCAGATCTAGGCCAGGAGGAGATTGTGCAGCTGTGCATGAAAAACATAAAATGGGTGGAGGATCTCTTTGAAAAGTTTGGTGAACTGTTGAACCGTGTCCAGCAGAAATGCTCCTAACAGCAGTGGATCCAGGTCTCCCGTTCTCCTGCAGCACTAACCTGCTGGGACAGAAGGCTCAGAGAGGCTCTGCTTTCTCTGCCCATTGCAGACTCTGTTCTCCTTCCTAGCCATGTCTACTTCTCTTTATGGAACTTTGTGCCTTGGCTCATGCTGAGGAAGAGTGTGATGCTGCCAAGGAAATCAGTCCTTTGGAGATGGAACTAAACAAACCTAACCACGTTTTTAACCTGAAGAGTTATTTTCTATTTTGTAAACTATTGGATAACTTAGTTTTATTTTCAGAAATGTTTTTGACAAGTGATAAAGCATGCACTACATATACTTTTTTTTCTTTATTGCTCAACAGATAACACTTAAAATACTACAGCTTTTTCCATCCCTGACTAAGCGAGAGAAAAGTCAGCGTTGGGGTGAACTCATTTTTCCATGCCTGGCCACCAAATTTAGAGTTTTGTACATTTTGTGAACAGAGCTGGAGTGACATCAGTTTCTGCATCCATAATATTGCCATCATAAAATCCAGAAATATCATTATGCTTTATGGACTCCTTTTACTATTGTCATGTTCAGGAGACTGAACATGGAGTTGGTGCAATCCTATGACTGCTTTTGTGTCAAATTATATTGTAATGAAAGACAATGACCTTAACTATTTTCCCTGTTTTGAAGAAAAAAAAATATTTTCCTTTATACTGTGTTGTTTTGTTTGTTGGTTTTTTTTTTCTTTTGGAAAAAAGAAATTCAATTGTACATTTTATCTCACTAATAGTTGTATTTTTCACAGAGGAAATATTGTGGTTAAAATTGTTACATGTATCTTTGTAATACACTTTCCATTGTTTTCAGTAAATCCTATTCATTTATATGTTGATTTCATATTGTAAACTATGTATCTTGTGGTAACCCTTTTGTTTATACAGGTTTGCTTCAGTGTTAACCAGAATAATGCATAATGCATACTAGACTAGTTTTGCTTTAAGTGTAGTTGTGTTAGACACTGCAGTTATTTTCTGATACGTGAAAATAAATTTCTTACTAAACTAGCACTTGATTAACTGAGAGTTTAAATGAAGAGCTACTACACTTTATCTTCATCAACAAAGATTGTTGATTGAACAGACTATATGCAGTGTTAAACACAGCTTACATAATTGTTTGTAGAACTGGCAGTTGCAGAGCTGTTCTCTTTTTGGTGCCTTTCGAGTCTTCAGACATCTTTGTAGCTTTTTTCCCCCCCTCCTCCAGTTTGTGAACAGTTAGTAGTGCCACTAGTCACACTCAGACAATGAATGTAATGGGCTCTAATCAGGAGAACATGTTCTTTAAATTTGCCAACAGAAATGCCTTACTGAGTCGTTCAGAATGGATATGTACTCTACTGGCGTCCTAAAAAATAAAAAAAAAATCATGTTGGTCTTTTCTCAGATAACGTAGGGAAAAAAAAAACCTTCATTCCTTTATCCTTTCACTGCCACTTAGTGCCTTAATTTCAGCCAAGAAAGCAGGGTTCACTCTTCATTGGCCAAATGAAATAATGTTCATTGCCATGTGACCTTTTTCCCATGTTTTGATCCTATTTAGTTGTTAAATATTCATTAGACTGTAGAACTATACAGAGTTTAATGAATAGATGTGAAGATGAAATTATTTGATCTTGAGTAAGCAGATAGAGGTTTGAATATTAAAGTATGTACAGAATTTTAGCCGATTAGTTTTAGAACCTTATAGGATGTTTACCATATTTCCAAAGCTTTTCATCTTTAAAAAGCAATAATTCTCCTTTACAATTTGTATGCAGACTACAGTGAACAGAAATGGGTTGTGCCCTTGCCTTTTTTAAAGCCTCTTCCTAGTGGTTTTGCTTTAAAAAGGGAGGTCACTATCATGGTAATACACATTGTGCTACTGCTGTGTCTACAGTTCTCAAGGAGAGGGAGATGGGTTTGGGTTTTAGGCAGAAGGTGCAGATTGTTGGAGCAATCATGGAGCTAATTAATTTCCACAGGGAGAAGAAGCAGCCACAGGGGTGAGGAACTGCTAGAGTTTGTCATATTGCATCTGGTAGGAGCTGGAGTTTCTATGGTGAAACCAAACAGCAAAGTTGCCAACCTTGGTAGCAATCAGTAAAATGCTTTCCATGTAAATATGCACACTGGGGATATAGTAGGGACGTGCCTGGTGTTCTCTTTGACCCATAGTGGGGATTCCCAGATTTCCTTAGTGTATCCCTTGTTGGTGGGGTGGTTGGCAGTGTGTGTAGACTCCTGAGAGGTGTTCACTTGCCCAGGCAGAGTTCTGGTGTCACTTTACAGTGATATGCACAGCACAGTTTGGGAATTCCTAGTCTGTAGTGTTAAAAGTGAGTAGGATACAGAGCGAGGGAACGACTCAGGTTTGGCTCCTTGGTGGTGTAGTGAAGCTCCTCAGACTTTGCCTCTCTCACACCCTTCCCTCATGTGACTCTGAAGCAATGGTTGAGAGAGGTCTCTGTGCTTTCCAAGGGATTACTATACTGCTACTGTCTACTTACTCTAGATTGGTCAGGTGAGGAGTAACTTTAGGAAGCTGCTTTCAGTCCTTAGAAGCTGAAGAAAAGGAATGAGAGGCTTTTGGAGTAACTTGTCCCTATTTAAGATGATAATTTTAGCAACAAGCATTAAACTAAACCCCAGAATGGGCCAGGATGCTCTGCACTGCCATAGAAGGGGACCTGGCTTATTTTTGGCTGGTTTATTCCCCAGGCCAGTTAAACAACCACTGTGCCTGGAGAAGATAGGGAAAACCTGTCTTGAATAAAAATAACTACCCCAGACTGTTAAAGATGAATATAACTGAGCTTCCATCTTTGTCTTGGGCTGCAAAAATGATGGTTGTATTATTAGAGTGAGTAAAATATGGAACTCTCAAGTGTGTTGAAGGGTCAGGAATCAAAGTGAAGCTTTGTTAGTGGGATTGAAGAGAGTTTTTTATACTGAAGCAAACTTAGGGAAAAAAAGTCAATGTACCAATTACTTTTTTTTTTTGCACAAATATTTTGCTTTGTTGCATTTTAGATTCTGTACCCACACCTCAGTTTTGGTTTTTTTGTTGTTCCCTTGAAGTAACAGTGAGGTCTTCATCCCTTAGCATCTGACAGAGGAAACTGAGCACGGATTGGACTGCAAGAGAAGATGCACTAGGAAGGAACAAAGCTCTCCTCAGACTATGAGTTAGCAAAACAGGAACAAACTTACTGCATAATCAGTTACTTAGTTTTAAATTCTGCTGTGGCATCCCAATTCACATTGGGTTGGGTTTATTCAAATCCAGTGCTTCTCTTAAAGGCAGATGCTACTGCCAAAAGTTTTGCTAGCGAAAAATCAGTGACAAAATTGGATTGAGACTTGTTTCTGCAAATGGCTAAGGACTTTAGGGGTGTTTGAAGTTCTGTGGCATGTGTTGTGTTCCTGTATACTGTCAGAATGAAATGCTACTTCCTAACGAGTCAGATCGTACAGGCTGTCTTCCAAGGAAATGATTTCCATAGGAAATATATTTTAAAAATTATTTAAGTATTTACTACTATTTAAAACAATTTTAAACCAGAAAAAAAGCTAATAATAATGCTATGGTCACAAAATGTCAGAGTGTCATCAACTATTTCTTATTTCCTTGCCAGCACTTGACATTGGGTCTCTCTTACCCTATCACAAACCTGAGCATCACACGATGCACTTCTGCCATATTTTGTTGGTTTAAGCTACTATTAACATGTCATTGGTAATAAATGCATGTTTTTCCTTCATATCTGCTCTACATATGGCAAAAAAAATGAAGCTAGGGCTAATTAAGAGACACTTTATGCATTCTTAGTCCAGATTTTCAGGTGGTCCATAATACAATGTATGGAAATGTGAACAAGGACAGTTTTGTACCATTCATGATGTTATTAACTAAACCCATTAAAGTGAAAACACTTTTTAAACAAAAACCTTATAATGCTTAGTCGTTTATTGTTAAAATATGGAGTCTTGAGACGTTTAGGTTGTTGGTAACAAATTGGCAATTTAGACTACAGTTTGTGATTGTAAATATAAAGAAACTCAGTTCCAGGGTTTGGGCTTTTTTCTGTGATGTTGCAGGAATTGGGCATGGCTGGTTGATCTGGGTCCCAGTTATGGGTTCTAAGTGTTTGGAATGAATTTTCACCCTCTATCTGCAGGTCTTACACTGATATGATAAGTGAAGAGCTAGAGAGAGACTGAGTCAGGTGGGTTTTACCTGTAGCATTTCCATGTGTTCTCTTAACTGCTGAACTAGAATATCATCTCTAGGTACCTATGGGGAGAAATGGTGCTCCAGAGAGTTCTAGTATTCTTTCCCCCTGAATTACAGAGTTACTCTGGATATTCTTAGAACTGTTTTTCCTGAAATCCCTATGTTGTGGATATCATAGAATTAACCAGGTTGGAAAACACCTCCAAGATCATCCAGTCCAACCCTACCGTGGTCACTAGCCCATGGCACTAAGTGCCACATCCAGTCTCAGCTTGAAAACCTCCAGGGATGGGGAATCCACCACCTCCCTGGGCAGCACATTCCAATGCCTGAGCACTCTCTCTGTAAAAAATCTCTTCCTAATCTCCAACCTAACCCTCCCCTGGCAGAGCTTGAGTCTGTGCCCTCTTGTCCTGCTGCTGGTTGCCTGGGAGAAGAGACCAACCCCCCCCTGACTCCAACCTCCTGTCAGGGAGTTGCAGAGGGTGCTGAGGTCTCCCCTGAGCCTCCTCTTCTCCAGGCTGAACACCCCCAGCTCCCTCAGCCTCTCCTGGGCTGTGCAGTCACTGTGGCTGTGGCTCCTCAGCTTGGTGTGTTCCACCGGAGGTCAGTGTGCACCAGCACAGGCTCAGCCTGTCTCCTCCCTGCCCTTCTCCTGCCATGGCCTTGGGCTTGCAGTCACATTGCCATTCCAGCCCAGGAATGGAAGGATTGTGCTCCTGAACAACGCACCCTTTGTCGACTCAAACACTCACCCAGAAGCTTCTGTCCTGAGAGACTTGTTTATTGTTCCAGCCTTTTCAAAAATGCCAGGGTGGAATCCTTACAGATTTCACACCAGTATGAAATACTCTGGAGCTGCACTTGAGGAGTAAATCATACTCTTGCCCAAGGCAGAGTGCACCTGGGTTGAATGCTGCTGGATGGCAGCACTGACTTCCACAGAACCTGCTGCTATGTGATCTTTTGATTCAAGGGTGGGTGGGAAACTGTGACTAAGCAGGGTGAATTTGTGCATCACCTGCTCTGCACTGGAAGGGAGAGTGTCTGTGCTCTCCAGCCCATGGAGATCAGCCCCAAGCAAACCTCTTGCCCTGTCCTACACGTGGCAGAACATGTTAGTACTGACAGAGCCTGACTGCAGTTCTTTCATCTGCCTTCATATCTGTCCAGCATGTCAAATAAGCCTTTGCCATCCAGTGTTGTATGAACAGCTGTTCATTTTCTGAAACTTGAGGTTAACAGAGATAGAAGAGAGTTTTCCAACTTTTGCAGGTCAGTTCCAGTATTAACACACTGGACTTTGTACCTTCAAACAATGAACTAGAGGAGGTTTGATAATGTCACGATAATTGTGACCTAAAAAAATAGCAATTTCTGTAACTGAAGCTGCTGATTTTCCCT